GCCCATTCACAAACAGTGTTATGTCATCAGCAAAACCAACCAGCTTCACATGAGGAGAAATTGGGTTATCATGCAGCATCACATCGAAAAGTGTTGGTGACAGTAAAGCACCTTGCGGGACTCCAACTCTCATGGGCTTTGACATTGATTAGCTTGTTCCAACCTGCACCTGAATAGTTCTATTTTGAAATAGTTATGCAACCAGGCCAACATCTGGTCTCCCACTCCAATACCATGCAGTTTGAAAAGCAATCCATCATGCCACACACTGTCAAATGCTCCCTCTATGTCCAGACAAACAACCAGGCAATACTCATGAGCAAGGCGTGCTGCAGTAATGGCATTCTTTATTAGGTGCAGAGCATCAATTGTGCTTTTCCCTTTTCGAAAACCAAGTTGAAGTGAAGAGAAAACGTTTTGTCTTTCCAAGGTATATTCCAGGCGACGTAGGACCATACGCTCCATGAGTTTTCCCATGCAAGGAAGAAGAGTGATGGTCGATACCCGTTCACTTGTTCTTGTGGCTTTCCTGGTTTGGGGATGGGCACAACTTTTCCATGCTTCCACGTGTCTGGAACAAGGCCAGAAATCCAACTTGTGTTCATAAGGGATAACAGCTCCTGCCTGAACAAAGGTGATGCCTTCAAGAAGAAAATATTCATGATTGTATCATGTCCGTGAGCAGTATTTTTCAGAGCCAAAGAAAATTCCCCAGCTGTAAAAGGGACACAATGATAGTGTTCAAGGTTAGCTATATCGCACCGCTGTAAAAACCCTCGAAAAAAGTATTGCTAAAAATGCAAAAAAGAACCCGAAAGCCTTCTTTTTATACGCTAGCTCGAAGTGCAAGATGAAGGACGGTATTTCTGATTTGAAAGTAGATCAGCGAAAGATATCCTCTGATGAGGGCAAAGCCAACGTACTTAATCATTTTTGCAGTAGCGTATTTACTGAAGAGGACTTGAACATTATTCCAGCCATTGAGGAGCGCCCAGTCGGCTCTAAATTAACAAGCTTTCATATACAAGAAGAAGAGGTTCTCAAGCGCCTTATCGCTGTAAATCCAAACAAGTCATGTGGACCAGACGGTTTCCACCCCAGATTACTCAAAGAGTTAGCAACTGTCCTAGCCGGCCCTCTGACGTCACTTTTTCGAAAAACTTTGAACGAAGGAATGTTGCCGGCTGACTGGAAAGAAGCTCAAGTGACACCATTGTTCAAAAAA